TAGAAAGGTTGTTGTAAACCCACAAAACATTGATCACGAATGTTTCAAGTGGGCGATTCTGGCGAAACACGAACAGAACACCGAGCACTGCGAACGAGTCGGAGCGAATTATTCGAGCAAGGAGTATCAATACGACTTTTCCGCGTTGTCCGTCCCCACCTCCGTATCGGAAATAAAAATGTTTAAGCGCTGTAACCCCGACACGTCCGTAAAAGTGTACGTTTTGGGAAATTGCGGTAATGAGAAAATTTCACCTCACACTGTATATCCTCTGAGGATTGTAGATATAGAGCAGGAGAATCATTTCGATCTACTGCTCATCGCGCACAAGAAGGTAACCACTATACTTTAAATCAAATTTTTCCCGACTCGTTAACACGCAGATGACCACACGAGAAAATAGCGTTTTCATGTGCAAAAAGTGTTTCACCCGTTTCGACGACCGGCAAACGCACTGTAAGTGTAGCGGTGCGGCGGCGCTCACGGACCACATGAAAATATGTGGCCTGCACAAACCAATAGTATCCTTAATGCCATCGGAGGGGACTACGGTACAATTCGCAGCGTAGGTTAAAACGCAACGTTTACCGTTCGTCATATACGCCGACTTCGAATCGTATCTCCGTAAATCGACCGAGACGCGAGGCCCTAACACATGCGTCTCGCAAGACCATTGCCCCATGATCTACGGTTTTCTGGTAAAGGCCGCAGACGGTGTGTCCACGGAATTGCTCGAATGGTTCGAAATTCTAAGCGCACCGGTCATCGTTCGCGGCTCGACTACGCGAAGCGACGTGGCACGGCAATTTGTCCTGGCGGTCACCGAGATAACGGGTAAATTATACAAACTGTATAAGACGACTATTACGGCTATCGTGTGGAGCCGCTGTGAGGAGGACGAGACTTGTGTCGCACGGCATTCATTACAGCAAATCCTTGTAATTTCGATTACATATTTAAAATAAGAAAAAATATATCTTAAGATTGTAATGGTAAAATGTTTTCTGAATTTTCCCGTGGCCACGCCTACAATTTTATCACGCGTATATATATATTTTAAATTGCATAAACACAACGCCGTTATTTATAAATGTAGTTTTTTTTTTGTGTAATGATATAATCCGTGTATTTTGTCCTCATTTAAAGCGATACGCTTACATTTTTTTTCTAATCTATGTGAAATATTATATTTTATTACGACGACGAAGTATAAGTTGTTTATCGCATTTAATATTCGATCGTCATTCGTACGATACACTCGTTCCGTGTTTTACAACTAAATAAAAAAGAATAAATTATTATCCAGCATAACAGTGATTTCGAGTCAGGCTATTTTGACATCGACCTGGAATGTTCACAGATTTTTAAACCATCGAATGCGTTACTAGATTTTTTAGAGAAGACGGAACAGGCGTTGAATATGGAAACAATTACACCGAAAGCGAATGTAGCGATAAAAAGAAATTCGACATAAAGTCAACAGAACTTGGAATTGCGGTGTGTCAAGAAACAGAAAATCAAGACAACGACCTTGGATGGTGGAGTTCCGAAGATGAGTTTGGATGTGGCGACACCGAAGAACGAACCAACAAAAGGAGAACGGCGGAAATGATGGCTTACCTTTTGTCAGGCTGTTAACATGGGTAAAGATTAATATAGGGAAGAATCTCCGGGATTCGAAAGTTTTTTCGAATTGGTCAAAGTGATTTTCAGTTTGAAGAATGAAGTGGATCACCCTCATCTTTATCCGTTGTCAATAATTGTGCTGATGATATCAACTTTTACTCAGACAGACTTACAGAACTTGTAATTGTTGTAATTTTAAATTATTATTTATTTTAATTAATATTTTGTTATTTTTTATAAATTACACCCGACGAAGTGGACCTAATATTTACAGGGCACAGTGACGACGATGGAAGAGATGATGACGTCGGACTACAAAAATCTGAAAACGGAGTTAACTACGATATTGATGCAGTTGCGCAAATAGTGACGTCCTACGACGAGCTGCCGATCTCGTCGCTGACTTCGATTGGGCGGGAAACGTCGTCTACATCACCGACGTTATTGTGCCACCTGGACGAGACGGAGTTGTTCGATTCGTTAAAAGCGCCATTGAACACCTCAAGCACGCATATGTCTCATTCGTCATCGTCAGTGTCCATGATGACCACGTCCACATCGCACACACCTGCAAGTAGTCAAACAACGCTTGCCGTTGTTCCTGGCTCCAGCGAGATTGCGATTACCGAAAGCATAGTCGCAAGCACGCTCGAAGACGCGTTTATGAGTGCCACCTCACAAGTACAGACTGGGACAATATCACTAGATAATAATTATATTAGATGTAATATTTAACCCTCTTAAGCATGGTGGTATAAATAATATACCACTTTAAAAAAAATCTTCTACTCTTGCATTGTGGTATATATTTAATACACCATAATATCACGTTTCATAAGTTGTAAAATTAACCGGTAGATGGCAGAACCGTCAAAATTTTAAAACGTTATCGTATAATCAATAAAATCTTATAGATTTTAACTTATCATATTTTCGTTTTACAGAAATATGATCATTTAATCATTCCACTATTCATTTTCATGTTTGTCTTGTTAAATCATCTTAAAAAACACCTAATGAACCTTCCCTAGTTGATAGATAATTGTTTTTCCTAAATGAAATTGTTAAAAAAGTGATTCATTGGTAGTATAGTATATATGTATACCACTGTGCAAACAGTGTATAATATCCATATTAGTTGCTATTTTATTTGTATGCAAAACAAAAATTCTTCATCTAATGTAATTATGGCATATAAATTGAATGATTGAGATATAGTTGATTGCTTGTTTGATTTTGATGCTGAAATAAGCAATTTACCATCAGATAATAATAGTTTTGGAAAGACAAAAGAGATATTTTTACTATAACTACTGGATGTCATCCTATGATGTTCACTGTAAAAAATAAACGAGGAACTGATGTTCAAATTGAGTACAACTCAAATATGTATGGTATAGATCGATGTGATCAAATGTCATCATATTATTTAAGCCCGAGAAAAACTATCAAGTGATATAAGAAAGCAATGTTTCATCTTCTTTACATGTTATGTGGAACTTATTCTACATCTATAAAAAAAAAATTCTTCAGTACTAGGGACAATTTATTGATTATCATCATGAAATTGTCAGGAGGCTTAATCACTTAACAACGAACATTTTAAATGTACGTCAACTGATCAAAAAGGACAAAGAAATAATCAACACAAATTCGAAAATTTCGAGTCACTCTCAAGAGAAGATACCATTACCAGAAGGTATAGTATGAGTATTTTAAATTGTACTAGCTGAACCCGTGAACTTCGTAGCCCATATATAGAATTCACCCGTGTGCAAGTATTGCTTTCTCTAAATGCAATTCTCAAATCAGATGTATAATTTTGATTAATTTTTCTATAGGGTGGTCAAGAAAAACATACTTATTGAGTTGTCGGGAATGTTACAAAAAAAAAAAAAAAAAATACGTCTTGGAGGTGCAAAGATTGTTCATCTATCCTAATGATGCATAACAATTGAATTAGAATTTAAAAAAAACATCATAAATATGCTCCTCCTGAAAAGTTGAGAAAATAGAGTTACAACCTTTTTTGCTGTGGCAGGTGATGTATGGACAACTTTTACAATTGTGTACTTATAGTTCAATATTAATTTGAAAATCAAACTATGATTGTAGGTACGATTTGAGAAAAAATCGTATTATTATTTTTAATAGACCTAACTCCAAATTTATGATTCCGTTCATTGCGCATTTCAACCTAATCAATATCATATAAAGTAGATATGATTAATTTAAGTATATGAATTGAAATTCCTATAATGATTAGTTTGTTGTAGGTTGATTTATTGAAGAAACAAAATTGTATTGATATTTTTTAATGTGCTAGCTTTTCTTTATATCAAACACAATAATGTAAGAATAATTAGAAATATTTTAAAGTTTTTATTTTTAAAAGTTTTTGTTTTATATGGACAGTATTAATTTTCATTTCTATTAGCATCAGTATAAAAAATAAAAATTCCTTTTAACTGGTAATAAATTCAGAGAGTTAATTATATCATTGTTATGTATAGACTTAATAATTACATAATTTTTTTAAATTTATTTAGCCCAAAATAGACTATTATTTAACTGATGTTCAGCATAGAGGACATTATGCCATTCCAGAGGCTCAAAACATCAGCAAGACTTTTTAGCATAGAATACATTATGTCATTCTAGAGGCTCAAATATTTATATATGTATATAATTTTGAGCTTAGGAAACATAGTGTCAAGCCAGAGGCTCAAAAGCATTCCATCATTCAAGTAATTTATTAATACATACATTATCAATATCGCAATAATAGTAATTAACAAATTGGAACATAGTACAGACAATAACATTTAAAATTAAACTTATTTTCATAATAGTATAATAGTATCATGTTGGATTATTATGAAATAACCAATATTAAAAAAAGAAGTTATAATTTTCAAATTCAATAGAATTTCTATTAGTTTAAACTGATTGCTAATAAAAATGTCTAAAACACTTCTACGGCTTTTTTTTATAGTTAATAATTAATCAATAATTATTATACTTAAACATTGAATAAATTATTTATATTTATTTTAAAATAAGAATATATATATATATATGTTTTTCAGATATCCGAAATTGGCTATTCCCAACATCACCATTTTAGTTTTCTATAAGTTCGTTATTGTTGTTTGTTAACCATCAAAAATTCATTTGTAAAAGTATGTTGTTTTTAAATATAGAAAGGTCAAATATATCCAAATTATAAAAATTATTATTCATATTATATGAAATATAAAAATATACAACAAACATTAATAGATAAGTGTAGATTATAGTATAATTAACTATTATATAGTATTATAGTATATTATCAATACAGTACTCCCTCGTTAACACGAACTCGGTTAACACAAATTATTTGATAACGCGAACCAGTTTTTCGGTCCCGAGAAAGTATACTATAATATGTATAGGGTTTTTTTTATCTCCTCGGTTTATACGAATTATTTCGGTTAACACGAAACTCGAACAAATTTTAAGGACTATATTATCGTTTTATCGATTAACACGAACAGAAAAATGTCAATATGTATACCCTTTAGAATAGTTTTCTGATGATGACATTACGTTTTTAAATGCATTTGATTTTGGTTGAAGAAAATCACAGTCGGTTGAATAATTGCTGATTGAAGAACGCATGGAGAGTGAACTTGAAGGGCCGCGTTCATCTAGTTCTTTTAATTCCATGTCACCGAATAATTTAGCAAGTTCTAGTTTAATCTGTATTTGATTTCTCTCTGAAAACTTTTTGAAGGTTCCTGCATAACTAAGAAATAAGTGGTTGACACTATCATGTGTAGGTTTCTTTTTATTCTCCAGATAACTAATGACTTTGTTTACACCAACATGCTGATCATTAGGTTCTTTACTATTTGTTTTGATTTTCTTTGGTGCTGGTAATGTAGAATCAGTACGCGTGTGTAATTCTGGATCATCCGATTCTTCGACGTCTAAAAATGATGTTGATGCCTGTGGAGAAGTTATCTGTGAAGGAGATGTTAATTCTTGTGTCTGTATCTCTAATGGAATGTCAGTTGTAATATTGGATGTCGTTTGTCTTGGAGCTAAAGTTTTGTCTAAAAATTGTAACTGACTTGCCCACGGCCAATTTTGATACTTATTAGAGGCTTGTCCTGTTGTACTTTTTATTTCTTTTTTGTATCGTAAATAGTTGTCTCTTAGGCTTTCCCATTTTTTTTTTTTGAATTTCGTCTGGTAGTAAAACGATATAATTTTTAATTATGATAAATATAAATAATAAATAATATATATATATATATAAATAAATATAAATAATTATAATTGTAATTATATAGATTCTGAATATAATGATGAATATATTGATTTTACTATAATGAATAGTAAAAATTTGAAAATTTAAAAATTCACGCGTAAAATAATGATTTAATATAAAACGGAGTTAGATATAAAGTAATTTTTTTAGGTACTTGGCCTCAGGTGACTCCTATCAGACTATAGGATTTTCATTTCGTGTCGGACGTACAACTTAGTGATGGGCGATCTGAATCGATCTTTTTCATGCGATTAATCGATTGTTTGGATCGATCTCCTGGACCCCGATATTTTAAAAGATCGATTCATTTTTGTGAAGATCGAATCGGAATCGAATGTTATATTTGGATAATAGAACTATAAAAGTGTGGCCACCACAATCTCCGTTACAGAGACGGCTCGAGATTGGCAACATTGTAAGTGGCGTCGCTCCCCTCCGCGCTCGACCTGGCCGCCGCAACGACGACGTCGTCCACCACAAGCTCTGCGGCCGGTCAGTGCCCAGTGGTCACGAGTTCACTACCGTTTTTTCTATCCGTGCGAATGCACCAATTGCACCTACCATCGTCTGTGCCCGAACGCTCCGAACCCCGACGCTCGAACTGCTCTAAGAAAGTAAGAAACCGTGTTTCTTGGCCGTTCCCTCGACACACACGTGTAAAAACTAAAAACGTTTAATGTTAAATTGTAAAGTTTTCTTTCACAATTTCACATTTCACTAATAATTTAGATTTTAGATAGTTTTTTTTTTTTTTTAAACATATTGCTAATAATTCAGATCGTTTTTTTTTTAAACATATCGCTAATAATTCAGATCATAACCGCCAAGTTTGCAGTTTCGATATTCGATTCATTAAAATGTCGTCGAAAAATAAAAGTGTGCTCTGGAATTTTTATGACAAATCCACCGACGGCGGCGTTTGTAAATTGTGCAAACAAAATGTCAAAACCAGTGGCAATACTACAAACTTGAAAAACCATATTAAACGCAAACATCCGTCTATCAATGTTGACAAGATGTCTAAGATGTCCAGACATTCAATTTCCATGCATTCTACAACTACAAGCATCCATGAAACAGACGAAAATGTTGTTTCTCGTCCTCGATCTTCGATCAGTACCAGTTCATGCCAATCTTCTAATTCTAAAAGTGTCGATGTTGGTTCTGAGTGTTCTGCTTCTGAGTTTTCTGATTCTGTTTTAAGTGTATCAACACCTTCACTATCAGTGTGTAGCTCTCAGAGTCTGAAGCAGCCGAAAATTTACGATTCATTCTCAGATATTAGATCGTATGATGGTAAGAATAATTTGTTTTGAATTAAAAATATAATATTATTTGAAATTGCTTTATTTGTTTTAGTTAGAGGTTCCAAATCCCAAGCAATCACTGATGCAATTGTATATATGATAGCCAAAGACAATATGCCTTTATCGACCACTGAAAAACCTGGTTTGACTACTGCATGAGTAAAGCAGCGCCGATGTATAAAATTCCATCCAGGAAAACTGTTACCAAATTACTACAAGGTAAATATGATGTGTTGTCATGCTTAGTGAAATCTAAATTAGTAAGTATTCAGTTTATGTCTATTACTGCTGATATTTGGACAGATGTAATAAATACCAATAGTTTCCTGGGTATGACAGTTTACTTTTTAAATATGTCAAAACTTAATTTGGAAAATATAACAATTGGTGTATTAGAACTTGCCGATACCCATACTTCGAGTCATATAAGTGAGTGGTTTGAAAAACTGCTTACAGAATGGAGGATCTGTAAGGATCAAGTAGTAACTGTTGTTACCGATAATGGTGCAAATATATTGGCAGCTGTAAAAACCACATTTGACACTCATAAACATTTACCATGTTTTGCGCATACTTTAAACCTTGTAACTCAAAGACCTTTAAATGAAATTTCTGATGTTCAAAATATTATATCCAAAATTAAAACTATTGTTACATTTTTCAAACATTCTGTCAAAGCCAGTGATGAACTTAGAAAAATATGCGAATTTAAACTTAAACAATCAGTACCGACCAGGTGAAATTCTATATTTTATAAGATTGATCGTTTTTTATTATGTTCGAACCATATTGCGTCAATATTAATAAACAATCCTCAAGGACCTTCAATGTTATCTGCAACAGATATCGATATTGCCAGGGAAATAAATCTTGTCCTTAAGCCTTTTGAAGTGGCAACCAGAGAATTATGTGGGGAGAATTATATTACCGGCAGCACTGTAATTCCCTTGATTCACTGCCTCATAAAAAAATGCGAACAAATAAATGTTATTAATCCTATTGCTTTACAATTAAAATCTGCCCTGTTGGACAATTTAAATCGATGGTTCGGTAGGATGGAGGAAATACAAAATCTCACAATTGCTACCATTTTAGACCCTAGGTTTAAAACGCTACATTCTAATAACCCATTAGCATCCTCTAAAGCTATTCGCACAATTCGCCTGAAACTTGCAGATTTAAAAACTAATTCTAGTAGGTCAAATAAAGAGTCTAGTGATGATGATACCGAAACGGCTGATAGTTTGTGGTCTTTTCATAACGAATTGGTCTCAAAAAAAGCCTCGGAAAATTCTGAAGACAACAATGAGCGCATGCCAACTGATTTGAAACATTTTTTGAATCAACCAACAATACCTATACATGAAAATATTATTAAATTTTGGGATGTCCATAAAATGATGTATCCTAACATAGCTAAAATAGCTCAGCCTTACTTGTCACTTTTCGCAACATCAGTTCCTTCTGAACGATTATTTTCCAAGGCAGGTAATAATAATGAATGCTAAAAGAAATAGATTAAGTGGGGAAAAATTGCAGCAACTTTTATTTTTAAGTTCACTAAATTTAGATGACTGGCATTTAAAATGATGAGTTTATTGTAAATATGTTGTAATTATTTTGTATAAATTATTTGTAAATATGTATATCTGTACTGCCTACAGTTTTGTATATAATATATAATGATTGTTCGCGCCATAAGCCGCGAAATAAATGTAACGTGTTGTAATTCGTCTGTATTGTGTTATCATTTTCGTGCGATGTGTAGCGGTGCGTTGCGTGTCCGCAGCCATCGTCGGCGGTGGTGATAAGCCTCCGTGTGCGACCGGCCGGGCACGTAATCGCGCTGTTATCGTCGCGCGTAAATGTTCGTTGTTCCACGTTTTCTTCATATTGTCGGTTATGTTTTTGTAAAAGTAAAAGTCATGTTCTCAGTGCCAAAGTTTCGTAAGTTCTCGTGTATTTTTGGTTTAGTGTGGTGGCACTGAGACATTTATCTTCGTTGTGGTGTCCGACGGCATAGCTTTCGTGGTGAATGTCGTCGGCACCGTCGCTCTCTCGTTTTTGTGTCTTCGTGGTGTGCACATCTAATTTCATTTTTGTCAAGTCCGTACGTCCGCAGCCATTTTCATTCAAACCACGTTTTTTTGTGTAGTGTCATTTTCTTTTTGTGAATAACGTGGTTTTCATTCATTGTGTCATCGTCCAGGGCTGTGGATCGTTGCAGTTTTTTCGTTGGTGACTGTGCTTGAGTGGTCGCACGTACCAATTCTGTGATTTATTTTTTATTGATACACTGCGGTGTGCCGTCATAGGCAATTGTTTAATCACAGGGTTGGTGCGGTCGCGTGGATGGAATCAACCATTTCAACATAGTCACAAGTGAGTATTGGTCGACCATATTTGTTCATTTGTGGTTAAAGGCCGACGGGCCTAGCCGTCGTAGGCACGTTATTTATTATTATATATATAGAGCTCTTGTATTGCCGCCATAGGCACATATTTATTGTATCACTGCGGTATGCCGTCGTAGGCAAATTATTATAAAATTCTTATTTCGTGTGTGCCATGTGGGCCACACATTTTATTTAGTTATTTATTTCTTATTATTTGCGCGCCGTGTTGGGCCAATTATTGAATTATTTATTTTGTTTTATATATCATTATTATTTACATTGTTATATTATTATTTGGTGTGTGCCGTGTGGGCCACACATTATTTATATTATTTATTTTGTTTTCTTTTTTATTATAATTTTTTATACCACATATTTGGTTTTTATTATTTATTATTATTTTTTTTCCTGTCGTGAAGGCACCCTTATTTATTTTTATATAAGCGCTGATCGCGACAACAATGATATTGTGAAAAAGTGTATACTTTATGTTGTAATTATTTACTGAGACTTCTATTTGTATATACTCTATAGGGACATTAGGAACTGAGTTCACTTGCTAGTAAATTAAAATCAATTTTGAAAATTGAATATACCTCTTAAATTAATAATTACTTACCTAGTAAAATAATTAAATCAAATTATGATTTTATTAACAAGTGCTTAATAACCAAACAATAAAGTATTTGAAAATTAATATACATGATAAGTATTTGTGTTTCTGATTGGATGTTTTATGTGGGTATTATACGTATATATTATGATAGTTAAAAACATTTTATATTTTGTAATTTATTCAATAAAATAAAAAAAATAAAAAAATATATGCGGATCCCTCCCCTCCTGTGATCAGCTATCACCAATTGAACACTGTCAGTTGTCACTGTCCATTGAAGTGGTGAGTTCCGTTGGCATTGTTGTAGCCCTAGGACTACAACACTTTCCAGTGTATACTCGCTCCAAAATCAAGAGGGACTAGGCAGGGAGCTCTCACGCTGGCATTAATGTGTTTGGAATACTCTTATATATAAATCGTTGTGACCCGGGTGTCACAAAGGGAGAGTTAGAACAACTCAAAGCACGCCGTCTAGTGATTTAAAAAATCGTTATTTTAAGAATCGATCTTTTAAAAAATCGATCTTTTGCCACCGATCTTTTTTTGAATCGATCTTTTATTTTCGATTTAAATCGATTCACTTTCAAGAATCGCCCATCACTAATAATGGGTCTAGTCTGACATCATAATCAGTAATTGTTTTTGATTGGCTAACAGCGCTTGGCTTCGACCGTTTAGTAAATTATCCGTGGTTTTCGATAGCATACAACACTGGTAACCGAATGTGATAACAGTTTTTTACCGTTATCACTTGTGTTGCTATGAAAAAAAATTTGTATTCACGTGTTGTCAACGGAAAAAAACCACGTCTCAAAGTTTTTATTTCATTTGAAGTCATAGAATCGTCCTTTTTTTTCGTTAAGTCTGATAGTATCTCATACATATAGTACTAATAAAGAATAAATCAAAAAATTTAAAAAAAAAACCAACTGTGTTTTGTAAACTTACATTTTGTAGCTTGGGGTAACTTTGTCCCGTTATTATTTGATAGGGATAGCTAAAATATGATTTTTTTTTTTTACATTTTTTGTCATGTTTATGATACAATTAGTCATTTTAGGCACTTAAGTTATACCTGCCTACTTAGTTCATATAGTCTCTCATCTGTCTTGTCTATTTTGCTCAACAGTTAACGATGCCGCGTAATCTAAAAAGATCGCTAGGTACGAAGGCGTACACAAACTATAAGCCGGAAACGTTACAGGCATGTCTAAGAGCTATGAAGTCCAAACAAATGACACAACGCAAAGCTTCCGAACACTACAAGATACCTAGGTCAACCACAAAGAATAAACTAAAAGCATTGCACAGTAAAAGTGTTGGCCATCCTACAGCATTTACTCCCGCCGTGGAAGCACAGCACAGCATTGCATGAAACTTGCCGATTTTGGTTTCCCATTAATCTCTTCGGACCTCAAGATGTGCGTAACTCGTTATTTAGATTGTATGGGAGTTCGAGTGTCTCAATTTACTAACAATATTCCAGGTGATTACTGGATTCGCGGGTTCTTAAAAAGAAACAAAGATTTATCGGTGAGAATCAGTGCAAATATTAAAAAAAGTCGTGCAAACATCACAAATGACGATGTAAATGATTATATAGACCGTCTTGAACAAACCTTAGCTGGTCTTCCGTCCTCACGTTTATATAACAATGATGAAACAAACCTCACAGACGATCTGGGAATGAAAAAAGTGATAAGTAAAAGAGGCTCTAAATACGTGGAGCGAATTTGCAATTCAAGCAAAAGTGCGATTTCACTTATGTTTTGTGGAAATGCTGAGGGGCATGTTTTACCGGTTTACGTTGTTTATAAAGCAGAATCGCTAAGGACCACATGGACTGAGGGGGGTCCTCCCAACACAAGATATAATCGCAGTAAAAGTGGTTGGTTTAATTCCCACTTTTTTGAAAATTGGTTTGTAACAAATTTTTTGAAAGAAGTACAGGGCGGAGGACCTAGTACCTTAATTGGGGATAATTTAGCGTCACCCATAAACGAACATATGTTAGAATTATATGATACTCATGACATTAAGTTTATATGTTTGCTACCAAACACCACGCATATATCTCAGCCACTCGACGTAGCCTTTTTTAGGCCAATGAAGGGGGCTTGGAGAGACATTTTGAGGCAGTGGAAAAACACGAAAACTGATAGTTGTTAAACAACTCTCCCGAAAGATATATTCCCCCGACTACTGACACAGTTAATGGACAAAATTGAGTTCAAGAAAGCAGAAAATTTAAAAGCTGGTTTCAAAAAAGCTGGTATACACCGAGTGAACAGAGAAAAACTAATAGAACGGTTGGCTGAACATAAAAGTGATATGCTCGATAATGATTTAATTGGTAAAGCATTTCTGGATCAAATTCAAAATGAAGGTCAAGATTTTATTGGATTAGCTGGTAAACCAAGGAAAAAGAAATTTCAAGTGTCACCGGGCGATAGTCTATCAATTGAAGATCTAAGAAAATCACGAGATAACCCAGAACCTTCAACTTTAAAACCTACACGAAACAAGAAAAAAGGTCAAGTTCTGTCATCTTCATCAAGTGAGTCAGATTCTATAGATTTTGATTTGGCAAGTGACAGCGATAATCTTGACGACGGCAGTGACAGCGAAGATGTAAATAACTTAATTGAACCTGACGACGGCAGTGACAGTGAAGATGTAAATAACCTAGTTGAACCCAACGACAACCTCGAAGAACCGGAACAAAATTATAAGGTTGATGATTTCGTTCTGGTCAAATTTCAAGAAAAACAGTTTCCCGGTTGTATCACAAAAATGTTCAATAAAGGCCCAACTATGGACTGCATGGAGAAGCTTTCAAAGCAGTGGAGGTGGCCCGCGAAGAAAAACTGCATTGACTATGAGTGGCGATACATCATAGCAAAAATAAAAACGCCGATTTTGTATAAACGAAATTTTTTTCTTGTACCAGAATTAAATGAATTTATGTAATATGTTATATTATTTAACTTCTATGATTAAAACATACATTTAGTATTTTTTTTATTATTTAATACATATATGTATTTAAGGCGTAGTAAAAAAATTAATTTCCTTAAACAGGCTGTTTTATTCGTTATTTCGCTTGTTTTACCCCCAAAATTGGTTTAATTGCTTTCTAGAAACTTGCTGATTAATTTGACATAACCCAACTTTGGCCCAAAGAAGCAGGAAGAGCAGATATATAAAGATATTGGAGGTGGGTTAAAATTACCCCATTGCCGAGTAACATTGGCCCAAATTTTTGAAAAAAATTTTTAGAGTTAAAAAACGAAAAAAATTAAAATTAGATTTCACAGAAGGCATGTCTAAGCACACACAATTATTTACGTATTTTTTTTTTTTTTTTTTAATTGCAATATGCTCCGACTGATGTTAGAAAAAAGAAAACAACTACCAAATGAACAAACCGTCACCTATATAAATGAAATAGAATCGTTATGTAGGCGCATAGATAAAAATATGTCCCAGGGAGAGATGGTTCGAAGCATTATGAAAGGTTTAAAACCCACAATAGCAAGGTGTATAGGAATCTTAGGCAACGATACGTTAGATGATTTAAAAAAAAAACGTACGTAAATACGAACTCATAGAATTTATGACAACCGGGGAAGCACAAAAAAGCCCATTTGAAATCGAAAACGACATAATTCATAATAAATTACAACAAATTAATCTGAATAACAGAAATAAAAATAATGAGAACGAAAAACTACGTCAAGAATTAAGTAATTTAAAAAAAACGGTCGAACAACTAAAAAATAATCACAATTATAATAACTTATCTAAAACCCCTTATAGACAATATCGTAATAATAACACACACAGATTTACAGGCGAATTTTCTAAAAGAAACATTGATACCCCTTATTGGTATCAATCACCTTTTCCATTTAAAAATTATAACAATAATGTAAAAAAATGTAAAATATGCTTAAAAATTAACCACACTGAAGACGTATGTTATTTTAAAAATAAATCTAAAGTAATATGCCAATTATGCAATAAATTCGGTCACTCCGCGATTAATTGTCATTCCACCAATAACGGTCATAATATACTAAATAAAAATTTAAAGACATCGAACGTTTGTTCACCTTTAGTTAAAGCGAATCATGAACAAATATTAAACAAAATAAATTGCTCACCTAATGCACTATACATTAAAGCCAAATTTAATAACTCGAACATCCCCATAACAATTGACACAGGATCCAACATCAGTTGCGTTAGACAACAACTACTACCGACCAATTACACACTGACCCCGAATAAATTACTACTTTCAGGCCCAGATAACAAACCACTAAATGTATTGGGTGTAAGTAACATAAAAATAATGATCAACGATAACGAATTCAATGTACTCACATACGTAGTAAAAGATTTATTAAGTGCAATAATACTTGGCAATGACTTTTTCGTAAAACATAATGCCCTTATTGATTTTAAAAATAACACAATCATACTAGACAATAATATGCAAATTGAATTACAAATAAATCACTCCAGCGCCTTAAACCACATAAATAAAACTAAAAATATATTAGAAATTAAAGGTAGTATATTTAATTCACCCTCTGACTTTGCTATAGCTCACTGCATATCAGCCGACCTCAAAATGAGCGCAGGCATAGCAAATCTAATATGCAATGTATATGGTGATACCTCTCGAAAATTTGCATCACAAAAATTCAAGGTAAGCGATACCATACCAATAAATAATAGTCAAAGAACCATATTTCACTTAATAACGAAACCAAATTATAATCATAAACCTAAATATGAGGATCTAAAAACAGCAATACATAACTTAAAAATTGAAGCACTAAAATTAAATAAATTAAAAATTGCAATGCCCACAATAGCATCTGGTCTTAATAAATTAAATTGGTCCATAGTAAAACAATTAATTTATGCAGAATTTCAAAACTCTAACATTGAATTATACATATACCACAACAGTTATAAAAATATAACCGACAACTGGAAATCAAAAAAACATTATAACGTAATAAATAACACACACGCATTCCACGAAAATAAAAATGACCAAACCAAAAAAAAAACAAATCGTAAATAAAAATCAGGCATTCAATATATTTTCTTAATACAAACCCGGAGAAAATGTATCTAGTGATGGGAATTGTGGACTGTACGCTATTTGTAACGCATTAAATGACAATAAAATTAAAAAGGTCACTTCAATAATTGAACTGTTAGAATTGTTAGAAATAAATTACTTACCGAACTATTGATGGTCAGATGATGAACTAGCATCCATAGCCAATTATTACGGTCACGATATTTATATTTATAATGATAACAATAACATGGGGATAACATATGGGAATGGAAATAGGCCATCTGTAGTACTATACAATTCAAACAAAAATACCCATTGGATCCCAGGGACCCTAACATCAAAAAAATCAAACAAAATTCCGAATGACATAATCCATGTACTAGAATTTTCCACAATCACCACCCTGAGAACTAATATAAGACACATAAAACAATAAATTACAAAGTAAATGATCTAGTAATGATAAGATTCCCATTCCTAGACATAGGAAAATCTCCTAAATTAGGGCCCAAATATAGAGGACCATATAAAATAATAGAAAAAATTAATGACCTAAATTTCAAAATAAAACTAATTTTAAACGACAAAGAAGTTGAGGACATCATCCATGTTAGGCGTTTAAAACCATTTTATTCCAGAATCGGAGAATTAATACAGACAAAAAAATTACATAACTTAACCCTTCAGTGCCCATTGTAGCAGAAATGCAACATGTTTCAAATTAAATTATATTATATGAAATATAATATTTTTTAATTAGGTAGTGCTCTCTATTTGTTTAAGAAATAACTACCTATCAGCTGTTATAAACACAATAGTGATTTAGTTGATAACCATTGCTTAGTTTCCCGCCAAAAAAATGTTTTCTTATCATATCATCAAAACAACCGTTGCGAGCTTTTTTTTTTAAGTTTTTTTGTGTCTTAAATACTAATTTATTCGTCAAACAAAAATTCTACGTATTCAGGTAAGTCTTATAGATTCTATTTAAGTAAAGAACCATACATTTTATTCATTTTTTTATGAATTACAATACATTTTAATCATGTTGCATATTTGCTACAGTGGGCAAGAAGGTAACGATATGAATCGTAATAAACTCAACAACGAAGAACTATTACAGATCCTTTTTAACACAAATTGGTCAGACAGTGAAGATGGTTTAGATAATTCTGACCACGAACAAGACCTTAACAATGTACAAATACCTGAACATGTTGATTATCCTACTAATGTAAATGATGAAGGTAAATTAATTATTATTTTAACAACTAGAACAAAACAAAAATTTAAAAAAAATATATAATTCATACAAATTTTATAATTTTTTAGTGAGTTTTGACTTATTGGATTTGCCTGTGGAAATGCAGTTTGACACTGGTGAAACATTAATTCTACCTTCAGATTCGAAATCAAATTTGACTTATCAAAACCAAAACACAACACCTAGACGCAGTATAAGACAGGCATTTTCCTCACCAACAGAAAGTACTAGCAATACTACCAATCAATCCCATTCAAGACCAAAAGAAAAAAATATTGAATTGACAAATTTAAAATGGAAAAAAGGTAATTTGATCACACCCTCTGCATGTTTAAAATTTAATGAACCTACGCTTCATAATGATTTGCTTTCGCTTGAAACACCGCTTGACTTCTTTGCTTACTTTTTCAACACTGAGCTTTTGATTAAAATAAAAGAAGAAACTGAATTGTATTCAGTTCAATTAAATCCCAATAAACCAGTCACACTAAGTATTGATGAAATAAAAAGGTATTTGGGCATTTGCATTTATGCTTCTGTGCTGCATGTGCCAAAAATCAGGGACTATTGGTCGGTTGATTTAGGCTTTCCTTTGATATATAATACTATGAGTCGTAATAGATTTGAGCTTATAAAAAGTGTATTACATTTCAATAATAATGCAACAATGTTATTGCCAAATAACCCGACCACGATCGTCTTCATAAATTGAGACCTATAATTGATCATTTAAATAATCGCTTTTCGTCTATTCCTTGTAAAGAAACTTTATCATTAGACGAACAGTTATGTGCTACTAAAGCTAAAAGTTATATGAAGCAGTATCTACCAGACAAACGGGAAAGATGTAAAATGCCTTCATGCAAAGGTTTTACTTACTTAAAATGTACAAAATGTACTGTGTTTTTATGTTTAAACCGTAACAAAAATTGTTTTACTAATTATCATATGTGAATATTAAAATGTTGACTTATTATGACCCACTGTTGCATATATGCTACATAGTTCAAGTTTAAGTTTAATAAAAAAGTTTCATGTTTTGATTTTTTTACTTATTTTTCCCAATTTCCTCGTGTTTTAATGATTAAAAAAAAATTTAGAAATTTAAAATTAAAAAAATTGGGCATTGAAGGGTTAATCAAGTTCCCCGACAAATTAACTAACCAAACCAAAATTATCTTTATTTAAATAATATAAGAACAAGTAAATAAAATTAAAACAAAAACACTATCTAACATAATATAAATAAATAAAAAAAAAAAATAAATAAATAAAATGTATCCATAATTTAAGTATAATTTTAGCTTATTTATATAATATTATAAAAATTCTTCACTATTATCATAATGCAAAAATTTCGATAATTGATCAGAATTTAAGTATAAACTACATAAGTTAACTAGTATTATAAAATAACAAAAAAAAATTCTTCAAAAATTAAAGTAACTATTGTTAGTGTTACGACTAATTTCACAAAAATATTGTCTATGACTTAAATATAATCTTAGTTTACCACTATTATAAAAAAATTGTTCATAGTTTAAGTAAAATTTAAGTTGATTGTTATAATATAAGATCATCAAAAAAAAAAAAATGTATCGTTCAAAAAAAAAAAATGTTTTTAATTTAAATATAACATAAGTTTATAATTATTGTGATGTAAAAATGTCATAAGAAAATTATACAAGTATTATTTAAAAAAAAAAAAATGTTTTAAATCTAAATCTAAGATAAAATTAATCATAAGTGTAATAATAAAAAATTTAATCTTGTAAAAAAGAATAAAAATTGATTTTAATCTAAATTTAAGTGAAACCAATCATTATTATATGTAATACCAAAAAAAAAATGTCATTAATTTATATATACATATATATGTTCCTTAAATATCATATATTATATTATATTTTTTTTTTTAATGTTATTAATACAACAACATAACAAAATATGCAACAAGCATTCATGAGGATGGATCAACAAGAAGACAAACAACAACACAAAACAAAAAATTGTAAATCATAACATTATCATCACATGATAATGTTCAATGATTAGTAATAAGATAACAATATGTGAGCACTCATTATAATCCACCAGATAGGAAATACATAAATAACAGTAGTATAGACTTTCAAATTTACCCTCCATAACTTCATTGTAACTCTTATTTTTGCATAAAACTATTGTTACTGTCCCTTGATTATTGTAAAAATACAAAAGAGTAAAAACCTCATCAGAGAAATCATTATTGTACTTTAAATTTCACTTTTTACGTTTTATCTATAGGTACTCTAAAATGTTTAAAAATATTTATATTATTCTCACAATTGCCAGTGAGCGTTGTTGTGAGGACACAACAAAAAAAAGTGTAAGGTGGATGTAATGATGTGCATCATTCGACTGTTAAAGACGGCACAAATATTTTATTATGTATACAATATATATGTATGTTATTTTTAAACCCTTTCAAATAAATAACGGTATCTTTGATACCCGCACGAACGACACGGGTCGAACAATAGTAGTATTGACATCCCTACATTAAAAGGACAGACCCAAGATCCATGCCGCCGCATGTGCCTATATAACAGGTACACAAACACACACACTCCACACACAGAGTCCTTGATCTTAGGTCGTCAGAGCATGCGCACCGATCATAAGATCAACGACGAGCGATTTATGTATTTATACATGCGATTTGTTTTAACTCATTTAAGTTTAAATTAAATAAAAAAAATATTGAATTATTTTAATCTGTTCGACTTGCGTTCTTCGTGCGAGTGTTGAAGAATATCCAGTTCTAGTGCTATTAAATTCTGCATTTGTTCTTTCTTTTTCAACCTCGCGTCGGCATCAGAAGTTCTACGGCGAACAGGTAAGTGCTGTTTATTTAGCTTGGCGGACTGTACAATTGCGCTGATCGGCTCTCGAACCTTCTCAACCCCGAGAGCCCTCCCTTAAACAAGGAGGAAGGTAACAACCCATTCATACCACATCGCTCGCATACCTACTACTTATTTTATTTTTGTACTTTTGGGTTATTACAAAACTAAATAATTAAAAAAATTATGATCAAAGTCACCCCTCTTTACGGTAACAAAGTAATCTCAGAAAGATTTCATTTTTTTTTTTTTTTAAAAATATGTGTGCACAGGTACAAGATTACTATTAGTTTTAGTGATTTATATGATTTTTGTCCTTATAGGACAATGTTACCGTCTAAATATCGTACTATC